CTCACCTCAGCCTCCCAAAGGCGTGGGATTACAGGCTGAGCCACCGAGCCCAGCTGGAATATTTCTTTACATTCTTATTTATTTATTTATTTTAGAGACAAGGTCTCATGATGTTGGAATATTTTTAAAAGGTTTATTAATTTAATTTAATTTAATTTTTCTTGACATGGTCTCATGATGTTGCCCTGGCTAGAGTTCTGGAATCTTGAGTAAATTTTTTCGACTTTCAGAGCTTTGATTTCCAGGCATGTTACGTTGAAGTTAGACCAGGCTTGATGGCTCATGTCTGTAATTCCAGCACTTTGAGAGGTCAAAGCAGGACTATCCCTTGAGCCCAGGAGTTTGAGACTAGCCTGGCAACATAACAAGAGCCTGTCTCTAATCCTACCCTCCTCACCCGCTAAAAGAAAGAAATTATATTAGGCACTTACCTTCTGCAGTTGTTGTGAAGACTAAATGAGTTTATTCATACCAGGGGTACCAAAAAATGTATACACATTTTAAGAGATGTTCTCTATGTATTACTTTTCTAAGTTGAATTGAATTACGGTAGCAATGTGTATAATGATGTTTGCTCAAAAGATGGTGTTAATCAAATGAATGTGAACATCACCATGCATGAGACAGGACAAAGAAAATGGCAGAAGCTTGGTTGTTGTTCGAGGATCGCAAGACTATTTTGACATGGTATTTGAAATTAGAGAATATCGTGGAAGTACAACGACAGTGGAGGTGTGAGTATGCATCAGAATCTCTAACCCGCCTAACAATTATACTCATTCATGATATGTTTGAGATGCATGGTACTGTGTGTGTGATGTGCACAAGAGAAGATCTAGGAGGCCTCACACAACAACAAGTCCTGCAGTAGTTCGCTGTAATCAGAAGTGTCTAGACGCTGATGATAACCACTTTGAGCACCTCTTGTAATTGCAGAAGTCAAGCGTGACTTGGTAGTCATCTTTTGTTATAGGTTTATATTGAGTATTACAATTTTATTTTATTTTATTTTATTTTTGAGTTGAGGTCTTACTCTTTTTTTTTTTTTTTTTTTTGAGTTGGAGTCTCACTCTGTCACCCAGACTGGAGTGCAGTGGCCTCTCCCGGTCACTGCAGCCTCTACCTGCTGGGCTCCAGCGATCCTGCCGCCTCAGCCTTCCGAGTAGCCGGAATTACAGGCATGCGCTACCACACCCGGCTGATTTTTTGGTTTATTGTAGAGATGAGGTCTCGCCAAGTTGCCCAGGCAGGCCTCGAACCTGCAGGCTCAGGCAATCCATTCACCTCAGCCTCCCAAAGGCATGGGATTACAGGCTGAGCCACCGAGCCCGGCGAGGTCTCACTCTTGTCACCCAAGCTGGAGTGCAGTGGCATGCTCACGGCCACCACAGCCTCGTCCTGCTGGGCTAAGGTGATCCTTCCACCTCAACCTTCCAAGTAGCCAGAACTACAGAACGACGCCTGGCTAGTTTTTTGTGATTTATTGTAGAGATGAGGTCTTACCAAGTTGCCCAGGCTGGTCTTAAACCCCTGGACTCAGGCAATGCTCTCGTCTCACCCTCTCAAAGTGCTGGGATTACAGGTTGAGCCACTGTGCCCAGACTAGTATTACAATTTTAATGCAACTTTTTCCTTTCTTAAATTGTATATATATATTTTTTGGCACCCTCTGTATAGGGCTTAAATAAGCCTGATGGTTAAAGCACAATATTAAATATTAGACTGAACTCTCTGAGGAAAGGGATTTTTGCCTTGCATATGTTTATTACATCCCTCACCCTCCTACCCTAGGTAGCACCTAGCTCAATACAAATTGGTGTTGAGGAAATGTAGGATGGAAAAATTAGACTATATGTATCTTATCAGTCTTGGTTCCTAAGCTCTGAAAGCTAATGTGAGTTGGGAGTTTCGAGCACTAATTCTTCTTAAACCTAATAAACAAACTTATTTTTTATGACTAGTTTTCTTAAACATGTAAGCAGCCTTGCACAATAATTTTACCACCTCTTTACATAATGAAGTTTGTTTTTGAGATGGTTGGTTGGGCCCTGGCTTACCAAGGGAGTTGGAATGCTGGCATTTATTGCCTTTGTGAATTCACACTCCATTGTGTGCAAGAATTGTAAATAGAATTAAAACATCTTGGCTTATGTTTTTGTAGGTTATAATATTAGAGAACCAAGTAGTTTCAGTTGTCTTATTAATATCCAGTATGAAAAAACAATCTCTAAGTTAAAATTATAAAAATACTTCCCTTTTCCGAGTATCATTCTATGATGTAACTTCTAAAGTTTGTATATTACATCATTAAAATACACAAATGAGCTGGGCTCAGTGGCTCAGCCTGTAATCCTGCGCCTTTGGGAGGCTGAGGTGAGTGGATTGCCTGGGCCCGTGGGTTCAAGACCTGCCTGGGCAGGCGAGATCTCATCTCTACAATAAATCAAAAAATTAGCCAGGTGTGGTAGTGCGCGCCTGTAATTCCGGCTACTCAGAAGCCTGAGGCGGAAGGATCGCCGGAGCCCAGCAGGTAGAGACTGCGGTGGCCGGGAGCGGCCACTGCACTCCAGTCTGGGCGACAGAGTGAGACTCCAACTAAAAAAAAACAAACAAAAAAACCCACAAATGACACTCATTTTTTAAGAGTATGTACAGAGAAAGCTTCACAACTTGGCGTCATGGTGAACACGGCATTGGGTGTCACCTTGAGTGTAACAGCGTACAGTTAATTATCTAGGAACTTGTGTTACTTCTCCTGTCTCCCCAGCAGAGTCAGGGTAAGAGTGCCTTGGTTCTATTGAGAGGCTAGATTAACTATTCATGAGACTTTGCTGTGGTGTGAAACCTGTAGACAGTTTTCAGGGATTGATCTCATTACATTTCATTGTTAATAGAGGGCAATGGTGGTGAGGCTGAAAATATTAGAGATTTATTTAAACACTCATATTTTCATACTGATATGTTTTTGTATTTAGTTGTTCCTGAAATTCTACACCAAAACACTGGTAACAAATACTGATGGGTGAACTATAAAGTTTTAACGTGTCTCATTCAGCCTCTCTGCTGGGTAATCTGGGACTGGTGAGCAGCAGTCTCTTTCTGCCTTCTTGCTTGCTGGCTTTCTGTTGTCCCCTTTGGGGGCAGGTTTCCCAATTTGGGGAGGGACTGACTCACTTTTCTTGCTATGATTTGGAAATGAACAGCAAACCTTTCCTTTAAAACTAGCATTTCTTTTGGGTTAAAATTGCACTCAGAATAATAATTTTTTTTTTTGAGTTGGAGTCTCACTCCTTCGCCCAGACAGGAGTGCAGTGACATGCACGCTCACGACCGCCCCAGTGTCGACTTTCTGGGCTCCAGCGATCCTTCCGCCTCAGCCTTCTGAGTAGTGGAACTACAGATGTGTGCTACCACGTCCGGCTATTTTTTATTTTATTGTAGAGACGAGGTCTGTCTACATTGCCAGGGCTGGTCTCAAACCCGCGGGCTCAGACAATCCACTTGCCTCGGCCTCCCAAAGTGCTGGGATTACAGACTGAGCCATCAAGCCTGGCCCAGAATAATAATTTTTTTAAATGGCAGAAGGAAAAGCATTTCCGCTCCTAGTCAAAGTTTCTGCTAAGTGGCCATAGCAGCTGCTTTGGAAGTTCTAAATCAGAAATGTAACCACGTAGCCAGCCTTATTCCATCTCCTCCTATCCCTTCATTCTCCTCCACCCCCTGCTCCCACCCCATTGGAGAGTTTGGAGTAAACACATTATAGTTGGTTGGCGCTATGTTCAGGAACACAAAGAATCTTGTTTTGGAATTACAGCAGGAGAAAAGTTGAAACTGGCAAAAGGCTA